CTTAAGAATGAAAAATCACCAACACAGACGGCAGATCCGAAATCTACGACTCAAAGCTGCAAAACAGCCTGAAATGAAAGCCGAAGAGAAGCGCCAACAAAAGGACGCCAGTAAGCAGCAGCAGCAGCAGCGGTGGCGGCAGAAGAAAAAGCCGGGAAATGGCCGCCATTTTTTTATTCAAAAATGTGGCGTGGTTTCTACACGCGTCATCGCGATAAACAAACGCAGGACAAATTTACAAAAACTGCAATCTCCAGCACGCTGATGGGCTATCTGCAGTAAGTTTTTACAAATTTCTACAATTATTTCTGAAGTTAATTAAAAACTTTGTTTTCTTTTGTGTGCCATCTTTCAAATCTGCTTCATCTGCTTCTCTGAAACTTCAAATGCAAAAAAATGACAGGATTTATAAAGATTTTCACTTTAGGAAACTAGCTTGCGATATGGAGTCAACCAAAGCGGCGCTGGAGAGCGAGCGCAAGATCCAAATGCTGCAAATGCAAGCGATCAACGCCCTCTGGAAGAAAGTCTCAGCACTACAACCGGAGGAATCCGCCAATCAAGCATCAACCAGCACAAACACGGTGGTGAATCTCAGCAATGGCGGCCATAGTGAAAACGTGGATACAAATCACATTGTAAACACGCTGACTGCAACGTGCACATCTCTACAGAATCAGGTGCAACAACTGCAAGGGTCCATGCGGGATATGGTTAAAACATGAACGTAACGCGCAGATTCTGCACCGCGCCCAATGTTTGGCCACGAAAGAACGGATCGCGACACAGACTGAAATTACATCGCCGTGCATACACCACAGGTAATTACATCCAACTAATTAAACAAAATAAAATACATGTATAGACAAAATGTATGAATGTGGTTGTATTGCGTGTTTTGGGGTGAGGTCTGGAAGGTATTCCCCTTTCAAAAACAACTACGGCCATCATCACTCCCTCTACCGGTGGGGACACGAACGCAAACGTGACGGCTTGACATCGAAGTAGCACGCAGAGCAGCAGCACAATGGAGGCTGGTACGTCAATTTGCGAGGTACTTTGTTGATGATTGTGATCAAAACCGTCAGCGAGAGTCAAGAGGATTGCCTGGGTCTGCAGCAGAGCACCGAAATCACGGTCACTGACACAGCCAAATCGAGCTAAGCTTAAATCTTAGTCGCTCCTCTTCTCTTCCTCTCATTGAACAGAACGTTTGTTTTTTATTTCGTTAAGTTTCATTCCTTTCTTCAAACAAAAGTATTACTTGTTTAGAACTCTCTTTGTATCCAGTTTCTGTGATGGTTTTTAATTTAATAGCGCTACAACAAAAAAGCGCTTAGCGCACTAAGCTTCAAAGTGATCTCACCGTGCTTTATATGTGTATACTTATTCTAATTACAATATACAAGATGGCGTTCACTGGCGGCCATTTTGTTGTCGGCACAAAGCAGAGAGCAGAACTTGTAACTTGGATTTGCATTTTATGCTTACTTACACTTGAAAAAAAAAGACAGACGAAACCAAAGATAAACTACTGAAGCGGTTGGTATGAATAAATTCTACGTGTATGAAGCTAAAATACTTTTGTTTCTTCTCGGACATTCATTATTATTCAAAATCACAGCATTCGTACACTTTTTACACTTTGAGTTTGTTGTACTGGTGGAAACTAGCGATAATCATACACAAACAAACAAATTACTGTGATGTTCATTGTTTAACAACACATTAAATTAACTATACATAACAAATCTATTTGTACATTAAAAAACACTTAGAAATATTTACTGTATTCAAAACTTAAGAACTAATATCGCTAGTTTCTAACCACTTCTTTATATATATATTAATAAGGATTACAGTATTGGTGTCGGTTGATTATTTCTGAAACATTTTACTGTAGATGTCGCGCTCGTGTTGGATGTATTTCAAGCGGTGTTTGCGCGCAGTCGCGCACAATTGTTCGATTCGGTTCTCGTTCGGTGTCAGCGTCAACGCCTTCTCGAAATCTTTGATAGCAAAGTCATATTCTTTGAGTTTAAGATGCGTCACACCACGTCTATACGCTGCCTTTGCGTTGTTTTCGTTATACTCGAGTATCTCGCTGCATATCCGCACTACTTCAGCGTATTCACCTTTTTTGAGCATTACTGCTGCTAAATTTGACAGTGAATGTGTTTTCATTTTATAGAGAACATTGCGCTCGTGATTCGGGCAGTGCGCAATTACGTAGTCGATGTACCGGATGACTTTGCGGTACTTCCGGCCGGATTCTGTGTAATCCTGCTTGTTGAAGAAATAGTTACCGGATTCTTTGATGTCGTAAACTACGCCTTCGAGGTTTGAGGTGGGAAATGTGCAGTCTTCTGGGTAGGGTGGGTAATGGTCGCTGGTGCAGTCGTTTTCTTCGATTCCAAAGACACCGTCGGTGATTTCTCCGCATGCGAGGATCGTGCATGGGAGAAGTGGGTTGCCGTCATCGTCACGTGATACTTCGGCGATTTCACGCACTACTCCAAGGCCTTTGATTACTTGTCCAAATACTACGTTGCGGGTGTCTAGATGTGGACATTCGGCAATTCAGTGATGTAGAGTGGGAGTAGTTTGTGTTGGGACCATTATTCGCCATCCCCACTCTTCCTGGTTGGTCATGCTGGGGTTTTTATGGTTAGAAATCGTTTAAAAATGTGATTTTGTGTTTCTTACTGTAATTTTGAAGTTTTCATCTTCGAATGCGCCGCCGTAGATGCTGACACCTTCAATTCTCGATTTTGACTTTGGAACTACATTTCCTCCTTGGATCATGAATTGCGAAAACACTGTAACCAAGGCGTTCGAAATTAGAATCACAGTATGCGCTGCACACGCCAAAAACAAATTGATTATCATCCTGTCAAAATCGCCGAAACAATGAAAAATTTCTTGTGCTGAATCCGGAAAATCCTGGGACCAAAAGAGGGCATGATGTCGTACAACCACTTTGACATCGACGATGACCTGCAATTCGACAGCGACGGCTGCTTCCAATGCTCCGAATCACCGCGCGTGAAGGGCCGCTTCGGGTTGGCGTGGGTTTCGGAGTCGCCGGAGTGCCCCTTTCCGGAACCCATCGGCTGGCAGGTCGAGTTCCACGACACGCCCTCCAAGGTCGAGCAGAAGTGCAAGGAGATGGTGCGCTGGATCAACTGTCCGCCGCTACCACGCTGCGATCCTTGCCCGCCCGACGAACTCTGCTCGCCGAACAATCCGCCGCGTTGCAATCCGTGCGCGCCGATGACGAATCCATGCCATCCGAGCTGCCAGAAACGCCCCGGCCGCCAGACGTCCACCACCAAGCGGTGCTGTTGCTGCGGCAAGAGCAAACGATGCTTTCCGCCGCCAGGCACACCCTATTGCCGCAAGCGGTCCCCGCGTAGACGCGGCGGTGACCAGCCGAAGTGCACATGTGACGATGTGCCCGTCAAAGACACTGGGATGTCGTCTTCAGGTGATTATATGCACGATACTAGAAACAACAAATACTACAATTCCACTTCCCCGCAGCAGGTAAATTCAACTGATGCGGGCGCGTGCTTGTGCGCGAAAGAGACGGTCATGCTGTACCGGAACGATAAGAGTCCGTATAATACGGACACGGAGAATATGCGCATCGGGAATGAGACGGACGATGATTTCAATGCGAAGGCGGCGGGCGATAAGCACACGAAAACTGGCGAAAAGGGCGCGGAGGCGAAGCATGACCACGGACGCAGCCATGACGCGAATAAAGAGCAAAATCATAAAACAGTCACACATGATAAACATCATCACAAGGATAATAAAGATCATAAAGATCAAAAGAATCATAAACGTGCAGAAATCACCGTGGCGCAGGTGCAAATGCAAGATGACGGATTCCCACAGGGTTGTCGCGAATGCTGTGAGAAATTGTACAACGCAGAAAATGACTGCAGTTGTGCAGATGACGAAGTAGACCACTCCAAACACAAACCACCAGTTAAACATGAAGAGCCCTCTTCCGGTGGTGCTGAAAAACAAAAAAACACAGATACCGAGCCGAAAAACATCACAAATTACCACAAAGGCGATGAAAAATATAAACCCAGCGCGGATTCATTGGACGAAGCTCTTTTAACAATGACCGGCGCGCAAGATATGCTCACCGAAGCCCATCCTGATGGTAAGATGCCACCACATCATGGCGAGGGACTCGCACATCTGCACAAACACGATTTCGACGTGGAGTTGGATGACAAAGCATCGCGTGCTGCAATGGCGAAGAGGCGCGTGGAACAAGTCGCCGCCAGCGGCAAAACGGCGAAACACTCGCGTCGGCCATGTTGGCTCTCGCCATGTTGGTTTAACCTATGCAGCCGCTTCAGAGACTACAAGTCCGAGCACGAACACAAACGCCACAAGTCGAAATCGCCCGTGCGCAAACCCGCTTCCAAGAAAAGTTCGCATAAAAATTTACAATAGAGACGCAGTGTCGTCTTCGCATCGAAATCACTCGTACCGTTTCGTCGATGGTGTTGAATCCATGAATATTAGAGTAATCTTCATTTTAGTTTTGTTTTGATATATTTCTCTTCACACAGGTGAGTGACTGATTCAAATCTATGCGTCGCCATATTTGTCCAACGAATACCGAAACAAAATGTGCACTTGGAGCGATTGCACGCGTCGTATTTGAACATCTTTACTAAGAATCAATAAAGCACACATTTGTAAAGAGAAACAACTCACCTCGGTGGAATTTTGTGCCTTTGTAAGTCAGAGGGATGTCATTTTTGTCTGTGCCGGCTTCACCGGTGCAAAACTGCCGGAAGTTCTCCACGGTTTTCGGGACGGTGTTTTTATACAGTTCGATTATTATTCGACCAGCTGGAAAACGATAAGAAAATTTAAAGTATTTCAATTGTTTTTGTTGTGCGTTGCTATTGACGCACTGCGATTGTAAAAAAAACAAGTTGTTTATGCGTACGCTCGGTTCCCACACGTGTGCATTGATGTAACTGACCTTTTTCGTCTCCAATCTGAATGTCGAAGAACACGTACGCGTTGCACTCGTCGTCGCTCATGCTGCTGAGTGTGTACGTGATTTTGTATTGTGTCTCACAGAGCGGTCGATCACCGTTGATATCGATATCGCTTCCGACGGCTGGTGAAAGTGCACTGCGCCCGGGCGTTACGCCGCTATCTCCTCGCGCTCGCGATGCATTTTTTATTTCGCCGCACCACCCAACCTTCCGCCTATTGGCCAATTATCTTATTTGTCGCTTATCAATGCACACACGGCGCGTTTACGACATCGTGGCGTAACTGAAAGGCATTCGCTTTTCGACGGTGCCTGCGCATCGGACGCGGACTTTCTGGAGAGGAAAAAGCGCGTAAGCTCAGACGTGAACGAAAACAAGAAACAACTGTTGACCTTGACGAATGACATGTTGAAGTGATAATTGATAATTTTTTTGTATAAAAATACAACAATAACGTGCTAAACTTTATTTTCACATGAGTAATAACATTTTTATAGTTTATAAATATAAATAAACTATAAAATCGGTGATAGTTTGTTTAAAATGTAGCCAATTTCATAAAACATGTTTGACAGCTGGTTTTTCATTTGACATCTATTCAAAAAACATCTGTTCTTGAGAATGCGTATCATGCGCGCTGAGTTCGTGCGAAATGAAACGGTTCGCTAACAATTATGCGGGTGGATCATCAGAAAAACGTGCGAAACTCATCAATGAAGACCCCTGGGGTGATTCTGATCCAGATATTGAGCATTTCCTTCTTCAAGCATCACAAATCGTCGATGAAATCGTAAGTTTTCCGTCTTTTAAACACAATTTTGAGGTTATCTTACCTCTACAGGTTTAAACTAACATTTTGAGTAAATTTTAGCCTGTTAATGATAATAAACCCGTTGAAAATGAGTCAATTGTTACTTATAATGGCTTTGCACATCCGTCTATGGTTGCATCAACTCAATTTGATGCATCAATCTGGGCTCATCCAGCAAATTCCTCAAAATGTCTTCCAGTTAGAACCAACAAACAAGATGAGTTACAAAAACTCAAAGAGGAAGTGCTCAATAAAGAGGGAGAAATCACCATTCTAAGGACACAGTTGAAACAGTCCAAGGAGCATGCTGAATTGAATTATTCAAAGAAACTCAATGAAAGTGTGGATAAAATCCAATTGATACAAAGTGAAAAAGAACGAATTTCAACAGAATTAGACTTTAAGAACATGGAAATTGTGAATTTGAAGAAGAAGCTTGAGAATATCACAAAGAATTTGTTTGATAACTCAACACTGAGTAAAACTTCAAGAATAATTGACAATTCAATTATTCCTTTGGGAGGTTACAAAGTCTTCTAGTTCAGAAACTTTGACATTAGAAGAAAAAATTGAACCATTCTCTGGAACAAGTAAGTTTTTATTATTTTTTAGTATTTATTTACATATTTTATCATTATTTCTATTGATTTTGCACAGATTTTCCATTAAAATCTGTGATACCTTTAAAAATATTTGAGAGTGTTGACGATGACAAGTTTCCGAAAATTCTGTCTCCGAATAAAACGACAGATGAGAGATATCTGCACAGTTTGATGTTTCCCAGCTGTCATGGCCAACAGGAAAAAGGTTCATTTACTTATATTCGGTTTGGTGAGCCGTTGAGAATAAAACATTTTTTTGATACAATTAGATCTCTGCGGGATGCATCTGAATGGGAGTTGGAAAATGCAACAAATTCAGTAAATCAAGTGAGTTTTTCATTTATTTTTTACATTTATACGCAAAAATTGGATAAAATTGTTTGTTTTATTGTAGATTTACTTGTTAACGCTTACATTTTTGACGAATCACTTGGAATATTTGACTAGATTTGTGAAACTTGTGCAAAAAGACGAAGTGCGCGAGTATGACGTGCGAAAAGCGCAAAATTCGACGCAAAGCGGGTTGATTAATGTTGCTTTACTAGAACCAATGTAAGTACATTTTTTTTTGTTTTTGTGTATAAATATTGAATAATTGGAGTTTTTTTTTTTGTAGAAATTGTGATAGTGCTGTGGAAGAATGTGCGATGCAATGTCGACAATGTTTGGCACTTCTAGCAGCTATTTATCCACATAATAAGTATTTGAGGAATGTTTTCAACCATAATAAACCTCTGCAATCATCTGAATGCGAGCGCGAGACATGGCCCTTTGCTTTTAGTACTCTTTTAACGGCTCGGGGTGAACAAAACATGTTGATAATTTTACATCGTATTGTAAAAATTATCGGCGATACTGTAAGTGCTTAAAATGACTAATTTACTGTTTAATATTATAAAATCTCAATTTTTAGCGAAGGGGTAACTTATATTCGGGATTATTATCATCAATTTGTCTACTTCTTGCTGAAATTGTGCGATATAGTGAAGAAAATTAGCAAAGTGTAAGTTTTTATGATTTTATATTCAACAACATGTTTTATTCTTTTAAATTTTGTATAGATTTGAACAAATTGGAGTGTTGATAGTGGAAATAGTACTCACAACTCCATCTTTCACCGTGTTATACTACATGAGTGAATTGTTCAAACACGGGTCTAGTAATCTGCATATTGAACAAATGTGCAGAAATCCACGGGTAAATGTGTTGGAGCGGAAGAAAGTAGATGGCGTCTCACCGAATGTAAATTTCTGCATTACCGACATCTTTTTCAGTCATTGTCGACATGCACTCGTGAAAATTTTATCTACAAATAGTAAAGATTTTCGCATGCATTTGAATTTGGTGCATTTTATCACGAATTCAATTAATTCAAACGTCGGATGGATGTATTTTCAACCAGGTAACAACAGTAAGTTATATACAAGTGATGTATGTGTAAAGTAAACAATAATTATTTGTTTTTTCGTGTTTTCAGTTGTAATTGTCAAAAAGAATATTGTAAAGTTGGAGTTGAAGTGATTTACACAAGTCTACAGACCTACAGGCTGCTTAAAAGGTGTCGAAATGAACATATTCCAGGTAATATTTATTTATAATTCTTTAAAGATTTTGTAGAAATTCTATATGTTCTTAAATTTATCGCAGTTGAACTGAATACGCTCGTTAAAACCACTCCGAAAGTTTTGGCGACGTTAATTCGAAAATATGGCGAGTTAATCGAATACAACGTACAATACAATCTGATGATAAAGTCAGCGCGGGCATTGTTAACAGAATTACAGGACATTTACGATGGATGGACACAATTTGAAGGTAAGTTTTTGTTATTTTATCAAAACATGTAATTTAAATTGAAATTCTAGTCGAATCAATCGCAAAACAATCAGTTTCTGAATCTTCTACGTCGCCGCCACGAATCTCATGGGAAGTATTACCTTCAGACTTTAGTTTAAAGTTTACATAATATTTTCTATACATTTTACCAATTTTATTAAGCTCTATACGTTTTTTTTTTTTTGCATTTTTGAGTAATTAGTGTACACTATTTAACAATACAACTATAGTGATAAATATTTTAACGTAAAAATAGAAAATATTTATAAATTTATACATTATACATCACAAAAGAAGCGAAAGTTGTGTTCTTTTATGAAGCTCAACGCTTAAAATCTATAAAAAATATGTTTTTCAGTTTTATTTAGTGCACCAGCCGTAAGCATCAGCGCGCATGTACCAATTACTATGTGCGGCGTAGACTGTCTAAACGCGCTTGAAGATCCGCATCGGCATCGGAGACTCCGCCTGCAGCAACTGCTTGCGGTGTGTTTGCCTTTTGTCCCGTCGCTGGCAACGCGCCGGCAGTTTGAGGAAGACCCGACAGAGTGTCGCCTAATTCGTAACCGCCTGTCCAAGACTTGTGTGACTACCGCGTCGCTTTCTTCTTCATCGTCATCGCCTTCCATTGCATCATCGATGGCGTCGTTCATGATGTCCTCCTTCATATCCATGATCTCCGACTGCTTTTCAAACTCCTGCAGAATGTGCTGGATTTGTGCTAGGTTAAGTTGGCGATTCATGCTGGCCATGGCTCGCGTGACGCCTTTCATTGCCTGTGCCATTGCGTTTTGTGACCGGAGTGTTTGGATTTTCAGGCTGACTGCTTGGATGTTTGCTTTCATCAACATGAACTTCATGCACGCCAGTGCATTGGCATCGGTTTCATTATTTTAACAGCGTCCAGTGAGAGAATGACAACGGTGAGTCTTTTTGTATAGTAGTAGTTTTTATATTTTACCTATTTGACCTTCCTCTTTTGGGTTTTTAACGCCTGAATGATTTCTTCTCTTGCTGTCGACATTTAGCTTTTTTCGCGGTCCAAATCGCGCATTGCTTTATTCAACGCGCGCTGATTCTTACGCAGCATTTCCTCGAGTTACCCTTTTGCCAAACAACCACTCCATGATTACTTATTGGAATTTTTGCGTGTACTTCTCTACGAACAATTGGTGAAACGTAAATGTTTTGCTGTTAACACAAATCAAGGTTTGTTATTAGTCACTGACATAAATACACTGCTGCGAGAGAGGGCGCTGCAAGTTGCATTTTGGCGTCTAAAAGGTTGCCTACGTTTTATCAGCAATACTAAAAAAAAACGCGGCAATACAACAAAAAGGGCTTTGTGATAATTTTATCTTATGTAATTGTTTATTTTGAATATCCATCTATTTACTTTAAAAACGGGTTTGGGATAATAACATGCAAAAAGTTCAATTTTGCGAGGTAAATATGAATTCTCTCATTTTTTCCCCTCTTATAATGTTTATTAAGGATTATGCGGATATCTTATGTATACATATTTATGTTTCCCTATTTACGATTCGATAAGATGAAATTACAACCCCCCTCCCCTCCCCCAACTTTATACATACATATTTAAACTCTAAAAAGCATAAAGAAATCTCGTTATTATACACTTAACTCTTTGCACGAAATCATCGAAAATGTGGTTCTCGTGGTTTAAAAACGGCAGCATTCAGCCAGAAGAGCTTTGCCATTATATAAAAAATAAAGACACTCAAAAGATCAAAAAGTTAGGCAATTCCCTTATTGCATCAAGAAATTGAAAACGAATTGAATCTACTGGAATCAGTTTGCCAGTATCATTTCCTCGATGGCGATTTGGACACAAATACGATTGATGTATTGTTCAAGTGTGTGGATGCCAAGAAATTGGGCCCAAATTCTCAGAGGGGATACAAATCGTTAATTCATTTTGCTGCATTGGGTAGGTGTTAATATAAAAAATATAATTTTACATTAAATAATATTTGCCCATTGATAACAGGACAAAATCCAATCATTTTGGAAAAAATCATCCAACGTTTCCCCGATCAAATACATCTTAAGGCCGAAAGAAACACCGCGCTTCAAACTTTACTGAAAGAATCCAATGATTCAGAAGAAAGGACAGACAATATTTTAAAGTGTGCAGAGATTTTATTACAAAATGGCGTCGACGTTAACTCCAAAGATAAAAACAATAAAACTGCATTGGCAGTTTATGCAGAGGTAAAGGATAAGAATAAACAATTGTTTGAGTTGTTAAAGAATAAGGCTAATACACAATTAGTATCAACAAAGATGACAGCATTGGATTTCATCACAAACCGTGATACAGATGGTTTTATCCGCGAATTTCAGAAGAAACAATTTTTTGAAAAGGAACTTATTGATTGTTTACCATTTGTGGTAGAAAATAATATGCTGGACATTGCAGAATGCATTGTCGACGCTATCAAGGCTTTCCCAGACGATCAAAACGAATCCCATCCGTTGCTCATCGCCAGGGATCATCGCCATGATGAAATGTTAAAAACTACTCATCGAGAATATAAAAATCCCTGAGGATATCCTCATCCAATTCATCAGGACCACCAACGGTTTTATCAACGACGCGAAATTTTTAAAATGTTATGAGATGATCATTGATAACGGCCAAGCGAGGGGCGATCAGATTATGCTTATGAAGGCTCCAATACTGCGTTGGCATACGCTGCAAAGTACGAAAACTGGGATGTTAGACAACTTCTGCTGAAGAATAATGCATCCCTGGCGAATAGTAACGCCTCCGGACAAATGGCATTAGTTGATGTCCATGCGGATGTTTTGCGAAAACACTTTGATCACTGCGTGCAGTTCGGGTATTACCAACATTCGTACGAAGAGCGTCTTAGGCTTTTGCTTTTAATTATACGACGTTGTTCCGCTGAAAACCAAAACATTGGGAATAATTCTAAAGTTTACGATGACACCAAGATAGATATGTCAAGAGAAAATCATCCCGCCAGCTGCCTTTAATGCAATTGACGTGATGTTACATCTTTGTAATGACAGGTAGAAGCGCTCTCTTCTTTTACATCCGCTGATCAATGCTTTCGTCAATGCCATGTGGCATAAAATGGAGATATTCGTGTTTGTCAATTTTATTGCTTACATGTTGTACATGGTGGCGTTGGGATGTTATCTTAGCATTGCTGATGGTGTCTCAAGAGCATTTCTTTCTCTAATGTGTTTGGTTTTGATCGGTCGTACGTGTTCAATTCGGTTACAAGCGTGCTAATTACTTCAAACAGAAACGTAACTATGTTGAAGTTAAAAATTCCTTGTTCAGTCCTGGCTTTGCGTTACCTCACCGACAGGATAATTTTAAAGTAATTGGTGCCTCCTCAGCGCGGCATTTCTCATTTATTAATGCTGAGCACCATTCCAATTGTTGCTTCTTACCTTAATATGTTCCAGAAGGTTTATATGCATTGCTGTAAAGTGTCGTTGATATTTTTCGTTTTAACGCTCGCATTTGCTTACTCGTTTCACGCGCTTTCTCGTACGCGTAATTCGAATAAATCTAAGTATTTTTCATCGCTATTCAACACGATGGTCATGTTAATTGAAAAGTACGAGGTACGAAATAGTCTTTTGTATGCGGAGAACCCGACATTGCAGATCATTGTTATTCTATTTGTGTATTCGATGTCGGTTGTTTTAACGAATTTGCTCACTGCATTGGCTTTCGGTGACATTCAGCAAATAAAAATGGACGCGAAATTGCACGAAATGATAACTCGCATTAAATATATTGCGGAAATTGAGCCTCAGTGCAATGCAAGCGAGAAAGTTGCAAAAGCTTACTTAGACAAACATAACATGTTGTATATATCATTGAAAAATCCGGGGAAAATTAATCGAAATATTGTCGAAGGAAAGAGTAAAACTGCGAGTGAATTTTGTTTGCGGTGTTTGAGTTGGCAATGTCAGTACAAATTGTCCAAAAGAATTACCACCACCGCCAAAAATATTGCAACCGAAAATGCGCAAAGGTAAGCTGAGCATTAAAAAGATAGAATTTTGATTAGAACCAAGCTATCAAAATAAACATGTGTTCTTATATCTTCTTTCATAATCTGTGAACATATTTTAAATATATATAGCATTTAACTTTGATTTATGTGTGCAGATGTTAGTTAGGTTTTTGATCTGTGAAACATTCTTGTTTTTATGATTGTTTATCATTTTCATAAATAATTTAGTGGATTATCAGCAGGGGAAACCTGTGAAAAATGTCATTTTTGTGTTTCGATATGCTAATTTTGTTTGTTTTAGGTGTCTAGCAGGCGTTCAAAATTGTCCTAGGACAACGATTCTTTTCATCAGACGTGTAAGTAATGAATTTGCTTATCATTTTCATAAATAATTTGTGTGATTATCACACGGGAAACATGTGAAAATGTCATTTTGTGCTTCGATATGCTAATTTTTGTTTGTTTTAGGTGTCAAGGAGGCGAAAAAAATTGTCCTAGGACAACGATTCTTTCATCAGATTGTAAGTAAATGAATTTGTTTATCATTTTCTAAATAATTTGTGTGATTATCAAATACACGGGGAAACCTGCAAAAATGTAATTTTTGTGCTTCTGATATGCTACCTTTGTTTGTTTTAGGTGTCAAGCAGGCGAAAAATTGTCCTAGGACAACGATTCTTTCATCAGATTGTAAGTAATGAATTTTGTTTTTATCATTTTCTAAATAATTTGTGTGATTATCACATCGGAAACCTGTGAAAATGTCATTTTTATGCTTCGATATGCTAATTTTTTGTTTTGTTTTAGGTGTCTAGCAGGCGAACAAAATTGTCCTAAGACAACGACTATTTTACTGTGATTGTAAGTAATGAATTTGTTTATCAGCTTTCTATAAATAATTTGTGTGATTATCACATGGGAAACCTGTGAAAATGTAATTTTTGTGTTTCTATATGCTAATTTTTGTCGTTTTGTGTGTCTAGCAGGCGAAAAAAATTCGTCCTAGGACTACGATTCTTTCATCAGATTGTAAAGAGTAATGAATTTGTTTATCATTTTCAAACAATTTGTGTGATTATCACACGGGAAACCTGTGGAAATGTCATTTTTGTGCTTCGGATATGCTACTTTTTTGTTTGTTTTAGGTGTTCAGCAGGCGTAAAACGTCCTAGACTACGATTCTTTTCTCTATCAGATTGTGAGTACGAATTTGTTTATCATTTTCATAAATAATTTGTGCGATTATCACACGGGAAACCTGTGGAAATGTCATTTTTGTGCTTCGATATGCTAATTTTGTTTGTTTTAGGTGTCTAGCAGGCGAACAAATTGTCCTAAGACAAATGATTATTTTATCAGATCAGGTAATGAATTTTTATCATTTTCATAAATAATTTGCGTGGGATTATCACAATGGAAAACCTGTGAAAAATGTACTTTTGTGTTTCTATATGCCAATTTTTGTTTGTTTCAGGTGCTCCAGCAGGCGAAAAATTGTCCTTATAGGACAACGACTTTCTCATCAGATTGGTTACCGTTGTTAAATATTGTCGTTTGTTATGAAATTTTGCCTGGCGTGTTTTCATTACAGGTAAGAACGGTTTCGCTATGTTCCTGGATGTTTCTTTTGTTGGCCACAACAAAGATGTAGCTATTATGATGGTTTATGTTTCAGTTGTCGGCAAAATCCCGCTTTTGCATATTTTTGCTCGTCACATTATTATAACAGTGCCGTTCGCCAGCCAGTCACCTGGTATGTTTTCATCTCCAGCCGTATCACCCTCAGCAGTGGTTTTTTTGGTCTTTACTTTCGTTAGTATTAGAAAGCGAATTTTGATGGTTGAATATTAGCGTTATAAAACCGTGTTTTCAGCGACGCCAGAAGTTTGTCGGTTTGTCGAGCAGCAGACGGTTAAAAGCAAAGTCAGTGTTAAATTGTTTAAAACATGAAATTTTCAGAAACAAAGCTATCGACGACAGTGATGATTATTATTAAATATTTGTTCAAAATAAAAATAACTGTTCTCTGAAAATTTCATGTTTAAAACAATTTAACTTTTGCAACTTTTAACACTTTCAATGCGTCTGGCAGGATGATAGAACTGACCAAACTGTTCGGCGTCAAAGAAAATCACACAGTTTCATAGCTCTCTGCCTAATAATATGTATCAAATTCAGCTTTCTTTAATATAACGAAAGTAAAAAGTTC